GTTAATGTTGTTTGAATTCTGTACGCATGATTCAGTTTCTTTGTTATTTATGGATCAATGACACTGTACTACCATGATATTGTTTTATAATCCATGCAATTCCATTTTATTTGTTAGTTGAATTCAGTAGGTTTCAGCACATGTGAGATGTTTTCATTATTGGAATGGATTCCAGCATTCTTAGTTTGTTTTAGACAAATGTGTGTTCTCTACTATATCCTACATTTCTTTGTTTGTATTCTAGACTTTGTGAAGTTCTTCTTGATAGATCTTTGAGGCTGTATCGATTAGCTAAAGTATGTTTCCATTCAAGTTCTGTTGCATGTTTGGTTTAGGATGAATGCTAGGGTGAATTGCTATGTTAGTTCTCTCTGCTGTCTAGGAAATTGGGTGCAAACGGCTATGCTTGCTTGTCTCATTCCCTTTGCTGGAAATTATCATGTGTGTGTTTGTCCCGTTAACTCAATGAACTTGCCTTTTTCAATCTTCTTAATGTGTAACTGTGTTCAGTGTGCTATGGTAACTTTAGTTACCATTGTACTTATGGAAAGTTCGACAGGTTTGGCTTTGGTTCTATGGTTCTGGGTGCGATTGTGGTTCAATACACCTAAGAAGAGAAAAAATTCTCTTGAATATGGTATATCCCCAGTGATTCTGACGTGATTGAGGCTTGTGAACGATTTGCCCTAAATCCGACTCCAACTAGTGTTTGGATTCTGATTTTTCTTTTACTGGTTCTATTACTGATTTGTATGTGATATTTTCATTCCTTATTTACATTTATTTAATTATTTTCCATGTTTTTTCATCCTAATCTATCACTATATAAACCCCTCCCCAATCTCCCCTTAAAGGACCTAATTTTTTTACTGCTATTGCACTCACTATACTTTTGCCTCACTCGTTCACTTCTTCTGAGACACTTGGATCTTTGGCCGGTTGAAAGACAAGGCCATAATATTGTTAAAACAACCTCCTCCGGTGCAACACTGCTCGGAGCCCTTCTCGACGCTCTTGTGAATTCTAAAGCATCAGGGATCTGGAGTTCTTGTTACCAGTATTCTAAACTCCCTATTCTTTTGCTCGTTTAATTTTGTATTCTAGACTTTGTGAAGTTCTTCTTGATAGATCTCTCAGGCTGTATCGATTAGCTAAAGTATGTTTCCATTCAAGTTCTGTTGCATGTTTGGTTTAGGATGAATGCTAGGGTGAATTGCTATGTTAGTTCTCCCTGCTGTCTAGGAAATTGGGTGCAAACGGCTATGCTTGCTTGTCTCATTCCCTTTGCTGGAAATTATCATGTGTGTGTTTGTCCTGTTAACTCAATGAACTTGCCTTTTTAAATCTTCTTAATGTGTAACTGTGTTCAGTGTGCTATATCCTTATCTTTGTCGAGTGATTGTTCAATATGGTGTCAGTTTTTCTATATTGAACCTGCTATGCCAAAATTGTCTACCCAGTTGGTATGCTTAAGTCCTCTCATTTAACCAATCTTGTTCCCTTAGTTTCTAAGAATTATGACCATTGCTAGTAGACTTCTAGACTGTCAATTAGTTACTATATATGGTTTCTCTCGTCTCATTCTGGTAAGAGTTCGTGTATGGCCATGAGAGTGTAGTTGATACACTCTCACACTTGAGATATGCTGGGTTCTACGTTTACTGTTCGTGTGAAAGGTGAAGCTCGTTGAAGGCCCAAGTGTTACTAGGTTAGATTCTTTTGGGCCTGCTATGTGTACTGGGCATGTAATCTTTTCATATGTAAAATTCGCACCTGCATTCATTAATGTTGGGTCAGTAATAATTTGTAAGTGAAAATAGATGGGGAAATTAGTAAAATAGGGGGTGGGGTACTCTAATTCTCACCTAAATGGGTAGAAAGCATGCCTATAGGAGCTATGTGATTTGTTCACTATTTGCTTTACATATTTTGATGTCATGAGTAGAAAACATGCCTATAGGAGTCACACAGACACACATCACCTAAACATATGCCCTTTCCAGTATTTACCTTGCCAATTTTTCCACTACTATGTGTCCTTAGATAACATATCTTAGGGCGCTGTAATATTTTACTCACCTAGATGTCATGCCTATAGGATTTCAAAATAATCAATCTATCAATCGCTTCAATTACTTTTAGTGTGCTGCTTATTTAGATACCATGGCAATAGGGTTTAATATTCCAACCAACTGTCCCTCTTTGTTTTTCTATCACACTGTAGAACCGGCATTAATAACTCAGAACTATGACTGTTTTCATTAACTTTTTACGCAAATGATTAGATATTATGCCTATAGGATTTGCAACGGTCAATTTGCCTATGCGTTAATCCAGAAATTGTTGCACTGCTCATATACTATTAGAATCCAGAATCGCTTAGAAATCATGCCTATAGGATTTGCAATTTTCCTGAACGCTATTTGTATATATAATACTGGAAATCAAAATAGCTTAGAGACCATGTTTATAGGACTTATAACAATCTAATCTGCCCGTACATTAGCATAGTCAATGCAGCGTTACCTGTCAATATTAGAATCATATAGAAATCATGCCTATAAGATTTAATAACTCTAATATGCCTGAACCCTGTCTATTTCCTAAACTGCTCGCGTGCATTCGTTGTTTATGCGTTGAGGCTAACTTGGGCCTTTAATTATCTTTACGTGAAGTCCTATTTGTTTTGAATGTCGTCTAGTTTTATCATTTTGAGCAGCCTAAGTAAGTCTAGAACCACCCAAATAGAGGTCCAAAGCTTCTTTGACCATAGGCATGGGACGAGTAGTGCACGCATAGGGTACGATTTAGAATTGGATTAGAGAGCCTTTAAGTAAACAACTTTAACATAGTAATTGGGTAGCAGGAGATGATAGTCTGTGCCCGCTGAATAATATGAGCAACCCCTACCTTAAGGGAGTTACGAAGTATTATTTATGTTGCACGGGGTGATCCTTTAGGCTAAAAAACTTAGGATCCCCCCTCCCCTTCCTTTATGTACTTGTTATCTAAGCTTAGTCGTTTAACATAGACCAATGGAGTCATATCATTATAGTCATTAAGATTTGTACCAATTCTCGTGTGTTATAATAAAACTCTTTGACTTTTATATTTCTTTGTTATATGATTATTTAGACTAATGACATAATCCACATAGTGTTATGTTCGGTCGGGATCCACAGTTGTGGACCTCGAAGAGTGCCTAACACCTTCTCTTTGAGGTAATTTGATCCCTTACCCGATCTTTGGTGATAACGACTAGTCAAACAGAGTTATTTGCATAATAGGTGCCCTAACGCACCTTAAAAATCGTTAGGTGGTGACTCTTCTCTTTTAATACCCACCTTTAAAAGAGTTGTCACGTGTCAAAATTCGCTTTCGCGAGAAAAAGGGGCGCGACACTATCGGTATATGAGATAGAACCCTATTATTATTTACTAGAATTTATTACAAAAGATTCACCCCTGAAAGTAATAGAGAATTGATTTAAATGCGGAATTGATTTATTTTATGAAATTGTTAGGAGTGGTTTGACGCACGTACTAGTTATTTATATTGGGGAGATTATTTATGCTATAAAGGATTATCATGCAACAATCATAACGCCCAAACATTACGCATTAATTTATGAGCATTTTAGTCTTTAAATACTTGTTGTCGCAATATTGCAGCTAATTCACAAATTGTTTCATTTCCTTAACGAAGAAAAACTTCTAATCGAGTACGTATTAAAAACTTTAATTGGTTTATAAGTTTTTATGATGACCCGATATGTCATCATGCCATATAGGCGACATTTGGCATATATTAATGCCATGTGAAAGCTTACATAGGAGGAAGGCTAGCTTTTGTGAGAAGATTCTAAAGAAGTATGGATATTTCCTTTGGCAGACCCTAGGTCCCTATGGATTTGCTAGGAAAGTCTTTGGAATCTTCTAGGTTTATAGAGAATTCTAGAGAAAGCCCTTATCTTGTAAATATTAAGGACTTGTGTAATAATTAATATTTACACACTAGCCCCTAAGAGACTAGTATATAAAAGGGTTCCATTCATTTGTAATTCACCAAGCAAACAATTCAAGTTCTCTCTAATACAAAATTTCCTTTATTAATTCTCTTGTGTTCTTTCTAACATTCTCTTAGCGATCTTGAGTGTAGTAAGGCTGACTTGGCATAGCAAAAACGTGAGCAAGTTGTGCAAGATCGTGAGAAATTTGTCAAGTGCCGCACGTGTACTTAGTTAACGACTAAGGACGAGACAACGTGGTATCAGAGCTAGGTTGCAACTAAGGGATGGCGAACGACAAACGCTGCCAACACCCTAGCCAACGTCATCCAGGATGTTGCTGGTAGGAAGGGCCATAAAAATAAGAGGAATTCCACCAACAAGAGCCAGGATATACCACCCGAGGTTGTGTCAAATAAAGAGCTTACATCCCAAGAACCATCTTCCACTGAGGTGAGCGAGGAGGAAGTAGAGGACCTGCCCCGAGGACGTATCGCTCGGTAAAGAGTGGGTGATGAAGATGAACACAGGGATGGACGTCGTGGAGATCTTTGGCCAACGCTTGGGGAAAATGGAAGCCACCCTTAGCGTTCTTGAGGGACACACTCTTGAAGAGATTGAGAGTATCCAAAATGACTTGGAGGGACGTACACAGACCGAGATGGAACTAAGGCAAACCATCATTGCCTTGGGAAGACTCATGGAGGCTTTGAGTACTATCGATGCTATGAAGGCAGAGATAGAGTCACTCGAGGAGCATGTTGATGCTAGTGTGATCGAGGAAGCCAGCAATGTTGTGGTGACGAGGGATACCAAGATCGAGGCTCCCAAACCCTCGATGTTCAAAGGTGTTTATGATGCACATGAAGTGGAAAACTTCCTTTGGCACTTGGAGAACTACTTCTAGTACGGCAAAGTGAGGGACAACGAGGCCAAAATCAACACTGTTGTGTTGTACCTCTTAGAGACTGTCATGCTATGTTGGAGAAGGAAGATGGCTTGCGTGGATAAAGGTCTATGTACTATTAGCACATGGGATAAGTTCAAAGCTGAGTTCAAGCAACCATTCCTTCTAAATAATGTCTTGTATGAGGTAAGGCACAAGCTTAGGGAGTTGAAGCAAACAGGGAGCGCACATGACTATGTCAAAGCGTTCACTATCCTTATACTTCAAATTCGCAACCTGACCAATGATGACTTATTGTTCCACTTCATGTACGGGTTGCAAAATTGGGTTAAGCAGGAGTTGCAACGTCGGCAAGTCACAGATATAGACAAAGCCATAGTGGAGGCCGAATCATTGATGGATTTCAGGCATGACAAGCACGATAAAGGCAAAGGCAAGGAGTCAAAGGTTAACAATGTCAAAGGTGGGCGAGAGCGTGGCAAAGGCAAGGAAATACAACAACAATATTCCAAGACTCAAGATTCCAAAAAGTCGAGTGGCCGTCAGAGCTACACCGAGAAGAAGGCGCAGGCCGAGAAGAAGGGATGCTACATATGCGGAAGGTCGCACGGCTTCAGGTTCTGTCCCGACCTAAAGAGCCTCAACGCCATGGTCCGTGAATGGAAGGAACAGCCGCAAGGAGAGAGTTCGGGAACCACACAGTTGGGTATGATCGGATTATGTGGTTCTGTCACGAAGCAAGCTATCCAACCTACCGAGAATGGCAATCAGTACGTGGATCTCACCATCAACAACAAGCCCGCTCGTGCAATGGTGGATACTGGAAGAGCTCATAATTTTGTGACTGAGGCTGCCCCAAAGAGACTAGAATTGAAGCTTGCTCCAACCAACTCTCACGTCAAGATCGTGAATGTCGAGGTACAGAATTCTCGTGGGGTAGCTAATGGAGTTGGTGTAAAATTGGGAACTTGGAAAGCTATGACAAACTTTATTGTAACCACTATGGATATCTTGTACATCATACTAGGGCAAGAGTTCTTTAGACATTGTCATACTTTGATCGACCCCTACCTCCAATGTCTCTTGGTTATGGAGCGAGAAGGATCTTGCATGGTACCTACAGTGACTATGCCACATGGACAGAGGCAAGCACAACTTTCAGCTATGCAGGTTGTCAAGGGGATCAAGAAGGGGAAGCCGACGTTCGTGGCAACCATTGTAAGTCTGGAGGAAGGCAAGGGTTTTCAAAAGACACTGCCACCTTGCATAGAGAAGTTACTTGAGGAAAACAAAGATGTCATGCCCGAGGAGTTGCCTAAGAACTTTCCGCATAGGCGAGAGGTGGATAACAAGATTGAGTTGGAGCCAGGGGCTAAGCCACCCGCATTTGCCCCATATCGTATGGCACCGCCCGAGCTAGAGGAGCTCAGGAAACAATTGAAAGAGATACTAGATGTTGGTTACATTCGCCCATCAAAGGCACCTTTCGGCGTACCAGTATTGTTCAATAAGAAGAAGAATGGATCGTTGGGCTTATGCATAGACTATCGAGCACTTAATAAGGTCACATTGAAGAATAAGTACCCGATCCCGCTCATTGCTGACTTGTTCGATAGACTTGGGCAAGCCAAGTACTTTACCAAGGTGGATCTTCGCAAGGGCTACTACCAGGTTCGTATTGCAGAAGGGGATGATCCGAAGACATCATGTGTGACGAGATATGGAGCCTTTGAGTGGTTGGTGATGCCATTCGGCTTAATGAATGCATCGGCCACATTTTGCACCCTTATGAACAAGATTTTCCATCCCTACCTTGATTGGTTCGTGGTAGTCTACCTAGACAACATCGTCATCTTTAGCAACACCTTGGAGCAGCACATAGAGCACTTAAGGAAGGTTTTCCAAGTCTCGCGGGAGAACGAGCTATACATCAAGAGCGAGAAATGTGAGTTTGCATAATCAAAAGTGCACTTCTTAGTCCATGTCATTAGTAATGGCGAGCTATACATGGACGAGGCTAAGGTACGTGCTATCCAGGAGTGGGAGGCACCTATAAAGGTAACTGAGTTGAGATACTTCCTTGGCCTTGTTAACTACTATCGGCGGTTCATCAGTGGCTACTCAGTAAAGGTCCAACCATTGACTGAGTTGCTAAAGAAGAACAAGCCATGGGTTTGTTCGGAGCATTGTCAAAAGGCGTTTGAAGGCCTTAAGGCAGATATAACAGAGGAGCCAGTCTTGGCGTTACCTGACTTTGCCAAGACATTTGAGGTGCACACAGATGCCTCAAACTTTGCCATTGGGGGTGTCCTGATACAAGATAAACATCCCATAGCATTTGAGAGTCGTAAGTTAAATGAGACGAAGCGGCGTTACACGGTGTAAGAGAAGGAAATGACTGTCATTGTGCATTGCCTTCGTACATGATGACATTATTTGCTCGATTTTGAGGTTCGTGGTCAAGACCGACAATGTGGCTACTAGATACTTTAAGACGCAGAAGAAGCTCACACCAAAATAGGCTAGGTGGCAGGATTTCTTGGCCGAGTTTGATTATGTGCTGGAGTACAAGCCGAGCAAAGTTAACATTGTAGCCGATGCCTTGAGCCAGAAAACCAAGCTTGCTGCCATCCATTCAGCAAGTTGGGACATTCGTAAGGCTATAAAAGAAGGCATGCAGCATGATCCAGGAGCCAAACAATTTACCGAGTTAGCTAACCAGGACAAGACAAGATGTTTTTGGGTAGAAGACACTCTATTGCTTACCACAGCTCGGCAGGTCTACGTGCCCAAGTTTGGAGACATTAGACGGCAGATCATAAGGGAGAGTCATAACACAATGTAGGTTAGTCATCCAGGCCAACATCGCACTAGGGCCTTGGTTGAGTCAATCTACTATTGGCCATGCATGCGAGATGACATAGAGTGTTATGTGCAGACTTTCTTGTCTGTCAACAGGACAAGGTTGAGAAACAACGACCCGGAGGATATTTGGAGCCACTACCAGTTGCAGAGCGTCCATGGGAGAGCGTAACTATGGACTTTATCACTTGCCTACAGAAGTCGGACGGTTATGGTACTATTATGGTGGTCGTGGATAGATTTTTCAAATATGCCACCTTCATGCCCGCCTCACCAGGTTGCACTGCTAAGGAAGCCGCCAAGATATTCTTTAAGAACGTGGTGAAGTATTGGGTCTTACCAAGGCATATTATCAGTGATCGAGACCCCCATTTTACTGGGAACTTTTGGAGAGAGTTATTTGACATACTTGGCACGGAACTACCTTTTTCCACTAGTTTCCACCCACAGACGGATGGACAAACGGAACGGTTCAATGTATTACTAGAATGCTACTAGAGGCATTATGTAAGCGCGCATCATAAAGATTAGGCAAAGCTCCTAGACATTGCCCAATTCTCTTATAACTTGCAGTGGAGTGAGTCCAGGCGGACACCATTTGAGCTAGCCACAGGCCAACAACCACAAACTCCACATTCATTACCAACCGCGTTCGGGGGAAAGAGTTTAGGGGCTTATCATATAGCCAAAGGATGGGAGGAACAGCTTGACACTGCTAAGTCCTACTTGGATAAGGCAGCTAAGAAGATGAAGAAGTTTGTGGACATTAAGCGACGTCCCACGCACTATGAGTTGGGGGCATAGTCATGGTGAAGATTAACCCAAAATAGTTCAAGGCACTACGGGGCATGCATCAGAATCTCATTCGCAAGTATGAGGGGCCATTTAAGATCGTTGCCAAGGTAGGCAAGATCTCATACAATCTTGACATGCTATCGTATCTTAAGATCTACCTTGTCTTCCATGCTAGTATACTTAAGCCATATCATGAAGACAAGGATGATCTGAGTAGGGGCCAATCAAGTCGAGCGCCTATTACTATCACCGCCTCACATGATCGGGAGATTGTGGCTATTATTGATTACTAGGCCGGGCAAAAATAAGGGCAGGAAGCCACTGCTATGTTCCTCGTCCATTGGAAGGGGAAATCACCGGAGAAAGCCACGTGGGAATGATATGAAGACTTATGGCAATTCAAAGATAAGATCCGAGAGTTTATGCAACAGCATTGTGCCACGGTCATCGCAATATTAGGTGGGGGGAGTGTGATGACCCGCCATATCATCATGCCACATAGGCAACATTTGGCATATATTAATGCCATGTGGAAGCGTACATAGGAGGAAGGCTAGCATTTGTGAGAAGATCCTAGATAAGTATGGACATTTCCTTTGGAAGACCCTAGATCCCTATGAATTTGCTAGAAAAGTCCTTGGAATTTTCTACGTTTGTAGAGAATTCTAGAGAAAGCCCTTATCTTGTAAATATTAAGGACTTGTGTAATAATTAATATTTACACACTAGCCCCTAGGAGACTAGTATATAAAGGGGGTCATTCATTTGTAATTCATCAAGCAAGCAATTCAAGTTCTCTCTAATACAAAAACTTTCTTTAATAATTCTCTTGTGTTCTTTCTAACATTCTCTTAACGATCTTGAGTGTAGTAAGACTGACTTGGCATAACAAAAACATGAGTAAGTTGTGCAAGATCGTGATTAAGTTGTCAAGTGCGCACGTGTACTTAGTTAACGACAAAGGACGTAACAATTTTCTCGAATTTTTTGTTAGAATTGATCATGGCTCAGTGGCAGAGACCTCTGGGAGTTGGGGCGTAAACATTTCGAATTGCTTACTAGTTTGGCATTGAGTCAACATCCTGAGAATGAGAGAATAACAATGATATGATAATGGGGATTATGTGCAAGTGTAATGTATTACTCGTAATAATAAAAAGGAAGTTTACTTTGACTTGGGACTTTGTTTGCTAATATGGTAAAGCACTACTGCAAATTCTGCTGGCATGCAGTGGTACAGCTAAAAGCTTCAACTTGAGGATTTTTAAGGTCATGAGGAAATTCTATGGTAAGAATTAAGAAAGATTGATTCGTTATACATAGTCGTGGTCAACATGATTACTTATGGATGCTTACCCTGAAAATTAGCTTCTAACTGCTAGCATTGCAATATGATAATAATAGAAGCCAATATTTTGGTGCCAACTCTATTTTGACTCCTGACCATGGATTTAGAGACATTGCCAAAAGACATGGCAATAATGGAGGACTAGTTGTCACAGTGTCATAAAAGAATATTTGCACTGTGTAATTTAACCTCTAACAATTATCCGTCTTATTTTTTAGGTTAGTATGAACAAAGCCTTATTTTTTAAGTTACTTATTTCACGAGTTTATTACTTAAATAGTCACTGAACTATGTGAAATTATGGAGTAAAGTCAATTTTCTTTCATTTGTAACAAGAAAGTCACTCAACTATCCCTATTGCACTCTGATGATCACTCAACCAAATTTATTTATTTATTCGGTAGAAACAGCTGACTTGGCAATCCACATGTATTTTTGGATCAAATAAAATAATTAACACCCAAACATAGCATAGAAATCTATCCATACACCCAATCTGTCCAGATCCGACCCGTTTAAAAGAAAGAGTGTTCTAAGACTTTTTGGTGAATTTTTATCTTTATAAATGGGTCGGATCGGGTCGAATTGGGTGTATGAGTGAGTTTATATGCTTTGGTCAGGTGTTATTTACTTTATATGGTCCAAAAGTCTATGTGGACTGCCAAGTCAGTATTTTCCACTGAAAAAATCAATAAATCTGATTTAGTGATTATTAGAGTGCAATAAGGATAATTTAGTAACTTTTATATTACAAATGAAAGAAAAGTGACTTTACTCCATAATTTTACATAGTTTAGTGATCATCTGGTTTATGAGCAATTATAGTAAGTAGTTAGAAACTGAAAATGTATGAATATTAACTATAGTTCCCATTTCTTATTTTTCCAGCTGAATGACAACTCCAGAGTACTGGTATTCCAAAGTCTCAATAGGTCCGGACTATATGCATCATTTCTTCGATTACAAGAGCTTTGTTGTATTTATACTTTTCATAATATTCCAAATAAGATGCACGAAGCAGCAACTAGGTGCTATTCTAGTCAACGTTGACTCCAACTTCATAGAAAAACATAGTAATGAATTAAAAAGAGTATAGCGAATTTCTTATTGACCAATTCAAACTTGGAACTGCCTTCATCTGAGGAAGATGACTTCTAAATTCCAGCCATGCATTCAATATTTCAATCATAGAACTATGAATAAAGCATCAATGTACATATATTTTTATTTCTCTCTCTCATTTCTCAAGTACTGGAATCAAAATCATTATTTGCAGTCCACTTAAAAATATATCAATTGATCATCATTAACTAATTTAATATAGCTACACGATAGTACCATGACTCTTAATTAAATTACAAATATTTTCTTGGCCAAACTCTCAAAGCTCACGTTACCTATATATACGTTTACAGTTCTCCATATATTATACATTGCAAAACCTGCCTCATTTATTACCTTGTCATGACAGGAACTCCGGTTACCAACAGCGGTGCTCCGGGACAATGGACCACCGGTTTATGTGGTTGCTGTGATGATCGCTCTAACTGTAAGACAATTAATTCTTCTAAAAAATTTATTTGAAAAACAAAATCAGCCTCCGCACCCCTTGTTCTTTTTTATTTTATGTTATAAAAAAAATGTGGTCTTTTTTTTCCCTGGTTCTGATTTAATCAGTCTTGACTATTTGCAGGTTGTGTCACTTGTTGGTGTCCTTGTGTCACCTTTGGCCAAAATGTTGAAATAATTGATAAAGGAACTACTTGTAAGCTATAATAGTTTCTTTTTCTGTTTTTTTTTCTTTTTTTCCTATTCATTTTTACATGTGAAGGAGTGTCTGGGAGAAACAGTAAAGTTGTCTCCACGTGACTTATAGGCAGGGGCGAAGCTACACTTTGGTAAGGGTGTTCGATTGACCACTCTTTGTCGGAAAATTACATTGCGTATATAGGTAATATATCAGGTTTTAGAGGTACATAACATATATCGAACACCCTTTGTCAGGAATTTTTTTTTTTTTACTTCTTTTAAGTTTGAACACTTTCGAGGAAATTCCTAGCTTCGCCCCTGCTTATCGGTCACGAGTTCGCATCGTGGAATCAGCCACTAATGCTTACGCCAGGGTAGGTCTGCCTACATATTACACCTCTTGCGGTGCGGCCCTGATCACTAGATCCTGCATGAATACGGGATATTTCGTGCATGGGGTCTCTTTTTTCATTTTTACATTTGACTACATATGTATGTATAACCTGCTAATTTTGCAGCTTGTGCTCATGCTGGTGTAATATACTATTGCTTGGCTCATGTGTGTTGTGCTTGTGTCTACACATGCACTTATCGTACAAAACTGAGAGCCTACTTTAGCTTGCCAGAGGACCCTTGTGGAGATTGCCTTGTTCATTTCTGCTGTCTCCCTTGTGCTGTTTGCCAAGAATACAGAGAGCTCAAGAGCCGCGGTTTTGACCCCTCCCAAGGTATATAAACACAATACTGCGTACCCTGCTGAAACTTTTACGTGCCACAGTTTATTTGAAGAGAGCCTTCGCGTAACTGGTAAAGTTACTGCCATGTGACCAGGAGGTCATGGGCTCAAGCCTTAGAAACAGTCTCTTGCGGAAATGCAAGGTAAGGCTGCATACAAAAGACCCTTGTGGTCCGGGCATCCGGCCCTTCGCCGAAACCCCCAATAGCGGGAGCTTAATGCATCCAACTGCCCTTTATATATATATATTACGCATCAACTAGAGGCCGTATAATGTTCAGAGACTTGACTCCTATTATCCAGTGACTTTTTTAACAGCATTTCTTGCAGTAAATAACTGGTCAAATCTAAATAGAGCGTTTTTATAAATTTTTGAATTTTTTGTTAGGGATTTTAGTTCACCAAATTTTGGTATATTACAAATTTAAGAGTATATATGACACATGCTAAATTGAATTGCATTTCTCATGAGATTAATTTGGGTTCTGATTATTGATTGGTTGCATGGGTAAAGGATGGATGGCTAATGCTCAGAAATGGAGTCAAGATGGAGTCACTGTACCTCCCCCTATTGCACCAGGCATGACTCGCTAAAAGAGGTTTCAACCACAACAAGCTGTTCCATATTTTGCTGGGCTAGTTCTTTGTTAAATCTGTTGTATCTTTGTTCTTCTTTTAATTGTAGCATGTGTAAAGTAAAAATTGTGTGTATGTTTTGGTTTCTTTCTCATGTTACCCTACGAATAGTTGGGTACCTCTTTAATTTGATCTGCAATAATAAAGGTTTTGTCAATATTCACATATTTTGTTTTCTTCCACTTATTGGTTTTTCCTTTGTCGACCCACACTTTTGTGATGCGTTTTTGCAAAAGGAAAATTTTAAGGGTGTCATTCAATTGTGTTGTTCATTATTTAAAAGTTATTTTTCTTTTAATGTAAAAATGATTCATGTTCATTACCCAAAAATTATTTTTTTTTTTATTATCACAAAAATCACTTTACTTTGCTGTAGTTATCATAAAATTACCTTGACTAGATTTTATAATGGCATAGAAGATAGGAAACCAATGATATATGTTTGCTTAAAATAATTAGTGGGAAAGAAGAAATAAATAGCAAGTAACCTTCTGGCCATTTTAGGAGAGTTTACATTTCTGTATCTGACTTTAAAATTAGTGGGAAAAAGATAACAATGTTTTATGAGATTCCCGGCGAAGGAGGATTTAAGATTTATAGAACATGGGTGCAACCGTGCAAGTGCAACAGTAAATACGAGAGAGAAAATAGTATTAAGTGGGAATAAATCTCTAATAATTCAATTAAGTGGACCATTCAACCTTTTGGAATATGAGGACCAGCAGATAATATTAGACTAATTCTTAAAAATACATATATGAAATATCTAATTTCATGAAGAGATTTATGGATTCACGTGCCCCATAATTCTGGCTATAAATCCGCCCCTTATCCCCGTGTGGATAATTAGACGGAGCATTTCCGAACAACCAAAAGTATCATTAACTTGTTCCAAAATTAAGCACGTCTGAGCTAGGATTGCAGATAAAAAATTGCACTATATTTAGAATATGATTAAAAGGTGTTTGGAGAACTATTTTAAAAGGTATTTTAAGGACTTATTGTGATGACCCGATAGGTCATTATTAACACCCCTCAAAACATACTTATCACTATGAAAGAGTACTTCACAATTAATTCAGTCAAACACCCTACCTTTTGGCTATGACCGATATCGACAACTAAGTATGAACGAATTTCACATTCTTCCCGTTTTTAAACTAGCCCAAGCATATACAATGTTATTCAACCAACTCAAGCAACCTCTCCATAACCACCTTACCTCAAGAGATGACTCGTTACACTAAGCATCCTCAACTCTCACACTCACAACAAAAGAAAGTGTACACATCACCACTCCGTCATGAGACCAAGTGCCCTCACCACAAACAAAAGAGCGAATATCAAAGTAGTCCCCACATTCAAATATGTCATTGAACATAATTTAAGGACACCACACAATTTGAACAAAATTCACTCACTCTCACAAAGAGTTCATGTGCATCCCGTGGTCGTATCATAAGCTTGCCGGTAGTGTATATCTCTACTAATCTAAGCTAGCCAAATCTAGGATCAATTAGAACTTCAAGGTTGTAATGTAGGCTAAGGGACAGGTAGGATATATTTAGGAATAGTGACTAACCCTCCTAAGCACTTTAATACACTACACTCACAAATCAAACACCTTTTCTTTTCAAACCATTCACTTGTCATACACCATATATAACATAGCCCTCTTTTCAATTAAGCACCTCTATGAATTCACTAGCACGAGTGAGTAAGATTAGGAGGTGTGTATCTTTTTTACATTATTTAAACTTTTATTTGCTTTTTCTTGCAACATTTTTTTTTCTTCTTTTTTTTCTTCACACACTCCATGCATTGAAGTTCATAAGCTAGTGACTTTTATCACAATTTTGGTGCGCACCTTAAGAGCCCTTCCATGGTTCCACTCAAAAACAACTCCCCAATTTCTCCCCTTACTTCTTTTAGCGACTAAGTGCCTTAGGAGGTAAAGGTTCAACAATCTCGAATCAATAACAAAGTAGGAGTATGGCTTGTAATGTGGGTGCCAAGAAAACGCTCTATAGGCTCAAAGGGGCTAGCAATGGGAAAATTTTATTTGTCAGTGACAAACACCTTCATGGTCAAGCAAGAAATGCTTACGTCATCTCCTAGACTAGCACAACTTAATGATTTCGCGCTGATTAACACACGGGGCAAGTTCTAGACTACACAGGATAGGACAGAATATCAACAATCCTTACACACACATGGCACTTGACTCACTCAAGAAGGTTCTGTGCGACTCTCAAGTCAAGCAAGCATAGCAAGTTGAGAATTTTTAAGCAACAATGCACTAGGTGGCATACAAGTCAATCAATTGAGAAAAATGTGTCACAAAGTAGGCTACTTACTTTACTTGGGCATTACAATTTAAATCATATATGCAGGAAGATAGAGCGCATGCCATAACTTACTTTGCCAACACCAAATATGTCAATAGGTCCCTCAAATCAATATCAGTTTTCTCTTTTAATCTACTCTTAAAAAAAACTAAACTAGAATACCTGATTCGAGCTACACCCTTGGAAAAGAACCGGTGTCGAAAGAAAAATCAAGGGATACTACCTAACTACCTAAAAAAAAATCTTTTTTGTATTTTTAATCGGACTTCAATCCCTTAAGAAAGTTGTCCAACAGATCCATCATCGGGAAATGTCTAAGCTTTTTTTCTGATTTTTTTTAAAAAAAAAATCTATTTTATAATCTAGCTAATTTAAACTAAGCTAAAAGGTGATAAAGAAAAAAAAACAGTAACACTAAAAAAAAAGTTTATACAATTACAGCTCAAAGAGTGTTCCACCACCCCACACTTAAACAATGCGTAGTCCCCGATGCATAATAATTCAAAAATAGAGTAAGGTGGAAAGAAAGAACTCCTTGCTAGTCGGAGTCTGCCTCCTTAGGATGCCCACCAGTTGCGGCAATGGGCTCATCATCATCTCCTAAGGGTACCAAAGCCATTGGTCCCGTAACTCCATCATCATCCGCATCCTCATCATCAAATTCTTTGTCAGTGTTTTCATCCTCAGACGGATGAATGGGACTACCTGGTGCTATGCCCAACATCTCCTTGGAAGAACTGGAGAGATCACCTCGCAATTGCGTGCGCTCCTCGTCTGACACCCCTAGCCTGCTTATAATAACATTGACGTTTTGTAAAGATACCTGCTAAAATTTTCGTCCCTCTCATTCCTAGCAGTTTAGGTGAGCTTTGATGTGTACTCTAGCAAGGATGTGATGTCTAGCAATGCCTTGGGTTCCTCCACTACCTCATCATAGCCTGGGTACTCCGGTACTCCAAGAGATAGCATGTACTGTCTCAGGATGTTGCCATAAAAGAACCTTTTGATCCTCCCTCCAAAACGGGTGCGGGTCATATCCCCAAGCATGAGCTCACCCACATTTATGGGGCGCTCGGTCATCAAAAAGTAGATCACGCACACTCGAGATCGAGTGCACTCACTATTATGCTCCAGAGGCATTAATCTAGCCTGCACAAAGTTCTGCCAAACTTTAGCCGTCTTGTTGAAGTCAAACCTAAGCATTTCAAGGTGAATATCCCCCTTTGTCCGCGTCCACTTTGCATTGGAATCAATGCCACAAAGTGTGTGACGTATTGCTTGGTAGTGTGGGCTTTTGACAAAACTTTCTAAGTCTTCGCGGGTTCGGGCTATCAACTCCCAAAAAGTGACACAAGGCCTCCCTATCCATTGGAATGTTCTTTCCTCTGACGCATGACTTATCCTCTTTTGTGTCCCAGTTTGCATATAACTCTCTAACCATGCTTAGATTTGTAGGGCCCCGACATTCGACGAACTTATCCATCTTCCTGTCGATCAATTTAGAAACTACATCGGGGAAGCTCCATTCTAAGGCCTTCACATTTATCCCCATCTCAGACACATATCTCCCGTATGGAACAAAAGTATCATGCCATTTCTTGGCGTCATCTCCTAAAAATTCCAACCAAGGTCGTGATTGCTTCGTAGACCCGCTAGCCACTTGCTTTCCCTTGGCTTGTCGGGAAGAGCTCTCGCCTTGCTTGCATTTCTTTGGAGGGGGAGCAGTAGTGGATGACTCCCCCTCCCCCCTTTTCCTTTAGCAGCACTGTCACGAGCCATAGCAACCTACACATGACAAACACAAAGATGAGAGTGAATCAAGAAATTTTGCCTAAGGTCATTGGGAGGGGCAAAGAGGACTCCACACTTAAAACCGAAGGCTATGCATAATCGAATCACAATATTGGCTCAACATGCATCAATGAGTCATCACAAGGCTATAGGTACTCAGCGACTCCCTATGCCATACAATTCAATTAGTCTAACATGGACGTAACTTAACTATGGTGCAAGCATAACAAAGCTAAAGTCTACATTACTACACTAATTTAGTATACTAACTATGACTTACAAAAATTTACAACAAGATACAACGCCCTCAAAACACCCCCCACTTCGCCCAAACTCAAATACAAATTCACTTGGCTACTTAGACTTCACTGGTGCTCAAATTTACTCCTAAGCATTTTAGCAAACACCTTGTGGGCATCAATTTTGCTTCTCTTATTTCAACAATGGTGGAACAAGGTGCCCCTCTCAAATTTACATGAAGTAGAGGGAATTATAGTTTACTAATTCAAACACAAATTCACAACCAAATTGTGCACCAAATTTCGTGTACGCTAAGGCCACCCACCATACAATAGAGCATATTTAAGAAACCTAGGGGATTGGGGATTGTTATAGAAAGAAGACTAAACTTACCCTAGAAAAAATTCAATATACAAGAAAAGAGAACAAGAGGAACATACCTTTGAGGCTTGAGATTAACTTGAGCAAGAGAAAGTTGAAGAATTTGAGAACTTGAGAGAGAACAAAACAAAAAAAAATTGAAGAAAAAGCGTGTGGTTGGGGGGGGG